TATGATAAAAGAAAGGTATATAAATGATAAATAAATTGTATTTTACTTCATTTTTCCATGTCATTGCATTAGATAAATGAATCAAACAATGATAAACCTTTCTCAGACCTGGACATTTAAATGCACCATTTAAATGACAAGAAATTACATGAATAAACAAAATAAAACTTAAGATAGATATCTTAAAAGCTTAAGATGTTAATTTTATTCTACAAAAAGTGATGAAATGTCACTAAATTTGAATGAAATCAAATAAATCAAACAATGCTAGACCTTTCTCAGGACTGAAAATTTAAATTAATCATTTAAATTTGAGTTTGCAAGTTCAAGCAATTACAACAAATTACATAAAATAAAAACTTTACATGGATGGATGGATACATACATTTTTATGTTACTCTACAAAAACACTTATAAATGTATTTGGTAACAAATTAATCAAACAAAATATGCTTTCCTTTCTCAGAACTGTAAATTTAAATGCACTATTTAAATTCAGAAGCAACCAAAAGCCTACCCTTGTTTTCAATATCATACAGTCTCTGTTGCCAGAAGCTTCTGAATGGAGCGATTCCAGTGCCTGGACCAATCAGAATACATGGAACCTGGCTGTCTTTTGGCATACGGAACATTGGAGCCCTGAAACAGAAAATACATCCTTTGATTTAATCAAATCCACAAGAAAACGACCATTAGTGGACATATTTAAGAAGTATATAAGTATATATTTATATATATATATATATATATAGAAGTTTATATTTACCCTCTGACAAAGCATGGCACCGTATCGCCTTCTTCCAAGCTATTGAGCCAGGAGGAACACACTCCGTGGTGTATGGGACCTTCTCCATCTAGCCAGAATAAAACGCATAATCCTTTAAGCTGACACCCTCTGACACCGATCTAACGCCTAGCAATTTAGGACTTTGCAGGGCTGACATCACTCGCTTCAAATGGAGTGAAATTGCTATATTTTAGCAGCAATCACGCCATTATGCAAATAATTACATGTTTACAATGCATTTAAAATGTGGAAGAGAAATTAGATCACAGTTTCGCTTTTGCGCATGTTAACTAGAAAGGCTTAACAGCAAATGAGCAGATCTAGAATTAATTTGATCATTTAATTTTTATGTAGTCCCTATCTTTAAAATAAATGAGCAGGTATTAGATGAACAGTCAGAATCAGACTAATACCACAGACAACCAGCCCGGTTTCTCTTCCAACAATACACAATTCATTAGGCACTTCAGTCAAATTGCTAATTAAGTTCATAGTCTCTTATTAAGCACCCAATTATTCACACCATACCGCTGTTGGGGAAATTTGAGTTTTCAGGCCGTATGTCATTGTAACTGTTGAAAGTGAGAGGCTGTTTAGTGTGACTCTCACAGTTTGAGACGAGTGACAGAAGCACTGGAAACGTTTTTAACACCGTGAAGTGGATTGCATTGGTTAAACACAGCATCAGGTCCTGTTTACACCTGCTTTAAACATCTGGTGTTAAAGTGATGAGCAGAGACGCATTACCGATAACACCTGGTACAATCAGCATCTCAAATATGTCTCCGGTGACCATCACCTCTGCATATTGATCAAGCAAATAAAGCAAAACGAAGCAAAAATACTACTGTTGACAAGTTTGTGGTTGTTAAGTCTCATGTGCTCACCAAGGCTACATTTATTTGATCAAAATTCAGTAACAACAGTAAATATAAGATGGAGCAAGCAGGACCAGGGAGGCGATGATGGAGGAAGGAGCCAGCGAGGAGCCAGGAGTGTGATGAGATGGATGGTGGGCCAGAGCAGGAGGAGACAGCTGGTGGATCACAAGAGCCCAGCCAAGACGAAGGACCATGGCGGAATCGCAGGAGGGAGGAGCCATGGAGGAAACCTGGGTGGAGGATCCAGGGGTGTGAGCTCCTGGCTGCGATGATGCCATCACGGATGGTGACCCAGACAGAGCCGAGCAGGTGTGCAGGTTGGGCGACCCTGAGGATCCTGAGGGCCGAGGCAAAGCAGCAGGCTCCGGCGACCGTGATGGAGGCGGGGATTCGGAAAGCCACAGTGGAGCTGGATCACCTGAGGATAAAGGCGGAGTCAGAGGGATGGGGGAGCCTGACAGAGCCAGAGGGACGGAATGACAAGGCGAAGCCGGGGGAGTGGAGTCCTGAGGCAGCGGATAGTCGATGACTGACCAAGGTGGAGCTGAAGGGACGAGGGAGCCCGGTGGAACCAGTAGGATGACGAGCCATGGTGAAGATGAGGGAGCTAGGAGCCAAGGCGGAGTCTGAGGGTCGAAGGACTGAGGTGGAGTCCCGGATCCTGTGGCTGGAGGCAGAGACAGGGGAACCTCACACCAAGGCGGAGCTGATGGTAGAAATCCCCAATGCGGACCCACATAGGCAAGAGCAGGCTGAGGGTGTGCAGAGGGGGTGACGGACAGCAGTGGAGCTGGGGCTGAGTGCTTGGCTGGAGTGAGATGTGGTGGCAGGTGCAGGATCCAGGCTAAACTGAAGATGTGAGGAAGTCCAGCAGGGCTAGCAGAATAACAGGCCAAAGTAGAGGTGATGGTTCTTGAGGCTAAACAGGAGTGGCATAAGCTGCAGCTGGCGGAATGTAGTGACAGATAAGCCAGGCTCACACTACAGGATTTTTGGCTGGATTTTGCTGTCGCGGACAGATTTCCACAGTCTGCGACAAAACCCTCGGATCGCGACCAAATCGGTGCTCGTTGCGGTCGCCGAAGCTCGTTAAGTATGAGCAGGTCAGCAACGTGATCCGAACCGTTCTCGAGCTATCACAGACGCTACGACATTTTCAAACCTGTTTGATATTATCGCCACGTGATCTCGTAATGTGAGCAACACAATGACAAGGTGGAACTAATCCAGCCAATCACAGTGCAGAAGGTATAAACACTCTTATCATGCATCTTTATGAACAGACACAAATTAATCAAATCAACTAACTAGAAATACATTTAATAAATGCATAGATTGTGTATATAATACTATGTTTCATTGTACTGTTTAATTACCTCCAACTCTTTCTGCAGTACTGACAGTCCTTGTTGTCCACGTCTTCCAAGCCATTGTTTCTGCCATATTCTCTTTTGTCGTGGTTTCTTCTTTCTTTCGGATAAAATAACTGCACAGACCAATTGAAGGGCCAGTTGATCGTCCATGCTTGAAGAAATGGCTTATAATTGCTGTAATTACTTGCGAGAATTTATGTGAGAAAACGTATTTTCGCTGATGGTCGGGAATGCCTCTTCACTGAATGTTTTGTAGTGTGTGCACCTCGTTAGCGTTGTGTTGTGTTGTATGCGCGCAGCTATGACAAGACGACGACAGATGAGAACAAATCTTGTTGCGTAGTGTGAGCAACACAGTGATTCGGCTAGTCTTTCAGTCATGTAGTGTGAGTATGCCAATAGACAGATAATAGACTAGGGATTGAGAGAAAGACAGAGCCAGAAGGCGGATATTCAGATATTCGGGAGGGTCAGGGCTGGATGGAACCAGCGAAAATTCAATAGATTCATGACTGGGAGAAACCAGCAAAAACTCCGAAAATTCAGGGCTGGCTAGAATCAGAGAAGACAGACTGACAGGGCTTGGCGTAGATGAAGAAAATAAAGGGTCAAAAAGAGAGAGTAAATCTACAGAGGCCAGCTGCAGCTCACCCTCAACGGCGGGGATGTGGGCGGGGCCTTCCTCCATGCCCTCATACTCCACGAGAATCCCCACTGGGAGGGGCGTTGTTGCCGGCTCACACACCTGGTCAGACTCATTATTGGGCTTGGGGGCGAAAATCCGTGCTACGTCCTCTAGTGCTTTGGTCGTGGCGGGCTCTGGCTCCGCATCTGCGGTGGGCTCACACGATAGCTCCGTGTTGTGTGGGGATGATGGCTGGCTGGGCTCTGGTTTGGGAGTGGGGATTGCAAGTACCTCGTTGGCATTGAAGGCGGTGAGTGGTGAATCATTGCTCACCAGCATCCACTCCACAAAAGCGGTTAGGCACCCACGAGGACCTTCCCTGGACAACATTGCCTTTGTTGGTGGTATTAAGTCCCACGTAATAAAATGTTGTCAGGCAGTTGTCTGGGAAATGAGTGGGTCCAAGATATCCTGTGTATGGTCCTCAAGGGAGCGATCCCCCTGCAGCTGGATTGTCCATTGAGCACAGACACACAAAATAAAAATACATTTAAAAAAAGAAACCGCTACACTTCAGTTTGGGTCTGGTCTTCTGTCACGGATTGGCATGTGTAATAATCCACATGCAGGCAAGACGACGAAGAGTTCAATATCTTTTAATAAACCAAATGACAGGGAAACACTACACATTCATGTATCCACAAACTGACGAGACCGGACAACCAACAGAGACAAGAGAGGAGTATAAATAAACAGAAGGTAACGACTTAATTCATGAAGGGCAGGTGAATCTAATCAAATCAAGAAACATGAGGAGAAAACTAGGTCACAGAAGGCACAGACAAAATAGAACTGTGACATCTAGAGTTTCATAAGAGATCTCAATAATGTCTCAAACTGTGTACAGATCACCAAGATACCAAACTCTGCAATCTAAAGATTTCTCAATATGAACTCAAAATTTCTCATCATATTCATCCAATATATATGGAGTATGTAGCTTTATTTATTTATGTTTTATTACATTTATTATATATTTTTTATCTTTCATAAAGTTTATTACTATCTGTTCTGTGATAGAAGTGAAATTATGTTCATTTACAAATTTACTTAAACTACCAAAATCTGCTTTGTACATTAAAATATTTTGATAACCACAGGTGGTAAAACAGAAAAACATATAACTGATTAGATTTCATCATAAGTGACAATACCGGACAATACTCATATATAGAGAGTGCACAGGGTCATACTGTACACACAAAGACAAAACAGCATCAGGGTAACATACAACACCAAAATGTAATAAACATGAACTAAATAACATCAAATGCTATATAATTTACCCTAACGTACATTACTAATGACAAAAATGAGAAGAAAAAAATCATATGTGAAATAAAATCATATGATGTGTCATGCAAAGACTTATGGGAATGTCCTTTTACTGTATTTTATTTATTTTTTTACTGTAAATTATATAGAAATTCAAAGTTTTAACTTGCAAAAACATAAATGCGACAGTATTTTACAGTAAAATTACATATAATGATACATACATACGTTTTTTCTCCATATATGGTGTAAGGTAAATTACAGTTACCAATTAGGTTTTTACTTTAGCATCTTTACAGTCTTTGTGTAAAAATTCTAAGCATTTTTACTGTCTTGATATAAAACTCATTTTTAAATTAAACATAACTAAAAGTTCTATTAAGAGCTATAAAAGAGCGTTTTGTTTTTTTTACCTCTGGGCCGATAGGACACCACTGCCACAGTGAGGTGTATCTCTCCTGGATGGAGGTCTGGAGAGGAGCTGATGGAGTAGTATCGTGCCTGTAGGAGGGGTAGCTGGGTCAAGAGAAGGGTGGACGGGATCTGGAGGGATGGGAACTCCTCCAACACCTCCACTATGGTGGGATTATTGCACCACTTCCACTCCTCATACTCCTGCAAACCCTGAGGAGACACAGAATGAAGCATATAACATCATTATATGCTCATATATCCCAGTAGCTCTGGTTTGGCACATGCGCTCTGGATGAATGGCAATCGCTCAAAACATTCTGCAAGCACCTTGTGCCGTGGAGTGACAGTAAGAAGTGAGTTAAAAAAAACCTGTCAACACTCTAATTTGCGTAAATGTGTTAGTCATGTGAGTGCAAAAATGAAGCCAGAAAAGTATTTTCAGATCTCTCCTTAAAGAGAAAATTCTGTCACCGTCGACTCACCATCATGGCACTGCATTTTTTCAGAATATAAAAGGTTATCTAGCACAATGTCCAGGCTGTTTTTTCTCATTCAATAAAGCTACAAAAAAGGAACCAAAAACGGCAGTTTATAGAGACTGTATACTTCTAATAGCTATGTTTACTAGACTATCATGGCTTCAAAAGACTAGAATATACAGTGGCGCACAAATCACGTACTTTACAGTACTTTCTTTTTCTGACCGTTTGTTCACCATATAGACTATTTGCTTCAAGAAAAACAAAACACTACCATTACTACCTTATTGTTTTTGACTGCATCTCTGAATTTATGAATTTTAGTGAAATACCTGAACATTGTGATTATAACTAATTGATGCACAGAAAACTCAATGGCAAGGACCTTTATGGTTGTAAATCTGAAAAGCTGATGAAGCTGAATTTTAGAAATTGGTTCTTTTAGTCAGCAAGGACACTAAATTGGTCAAAAGAGACAGCAAAGACATTTATAATGTTACAAAAGATTTCCATTCCAAATAAATGCTGTTCGTTTAAACTTTCTATTCATCAAAGAATCCTGAAATAAAATGTTTCACAGTTTACATTAAAAATATTAACTGTTTTCAATGATGATAATAATAAATAAAAAAAATCAGCAAATCAGCAAATTAGAACAATTTCTGAAGGATCATGTGACACTGAAGACTGGAGCAATGGCTGCTGAAAATTCAGCTTGACCATCACAGAAATAAAATATATTTTTAAAAATTACTGTTTTACTGATTAAATAAATGCAGCCTTGGTGAGCATAAGATACTTCTTTTAAAAAACATTTAAAAAATCTTACTTACCCCAAACTTTTGAATAGAACACTATACAAAAGTATCATTTTATACGGGCAGAGAGAAACTGGGGGGAATTGCCATCCTCACTGATGTGAACTCAGCTGAAAGAATGTCTGCAAAGAATGTGTCAATGTCCCTCTGTCTTTCTCCTCTAGTTCAATCCATTCCTTCATCAGAATCATCTGAACCAGAAAGGATGACTCACTATCTAAGCAGCCATTTTTAGCAATATTACGAAAAATTGCACCGAGTGTTTCAGTGGGAGGCAATGAAAGAGAAATATTTCCATGTCTTGGTGTTGACACTGAAAAGCTCGAGTGAGAGAGAATAAACAGGCACGGGAGGGAGGAAAAAAAGGAAGTAGGAAGGAGGGGGTTGATTTTCAGAGCTAATAAGTTATCAAACTGAGAAAATGACTGCTGATTTGAGGCGGAAAAGGCAGGGATGCATGTGGCGATGTGACGCCTTTTGTCATATATGGAAGAAGTGGGTGAAAATGAGTCTTAAATCATTACTGAGCTTTAGCCCGGCTTGTATTGATGCAAATAAATGTCTTACATGATAGTTAGGGAAATGCATGAGTGTGTGCAGCTATTCAGTGTTTTCTTACCTTGCTGAGTACCTCTAGTCTCTTTCTCTGTTTCTCATTAGTCGCTAGAGGAGCAAACTGTTGCAGTAGCAGGGGACTTGGAGGGGTGGTTATGTCCAGGAAGTATTTGAAAGCCTGATAGATGGTACAGGGCGGAATACGACTCTCGTCCGTCCAGTTACTAATCACACCTGCAGAAGATAAAGAGGCTCTGATTTGTTAAGAATGCAGATATGACCAGTTTAATCCTGATTTAACCAGTGATTTACTAACTTGATGTGACATTCAGATATTCAAGAATGAAAACAACTTTTTAGAGTTTTGGTGGAGGGGAAGATTTAAGCAAACAATTACTTTAATTTGACCCTTTTCCTCTCATATTAAACTAATATATGCCTTCTGAGGACCTGACATGTATAGTATAAGTCATTTGGACTGCTTTTACTGTGCTTTTTTATCATTTGTTGAGGCCCATTTTCTTTGCCATTTGTATCCCATGGTACAAGAAAGTAAGTCATATGGGTTTGGAGCGACATGCGGATGAGTAAATAATGAGTTTTTATTTTTGGGAGAACTGTACACTGATAATGTGCCCAAGGCATCTACTTTTGTTAAAATACCTCTTTTGTCCACAATAATGCAGGCTTCAATGAGACCACATCTGTAATGATTTTCAGATGCAGGAGAAAGAGTTGCAGCAACCTCATTTTCCCACTGTAAAGGTCACTGGCCGGTTTTCAGTCATCCTGACATATTTCTCAACAAGATAGGGTGAGAAATCTCACTTCAGATAATCTTTTTAAAAGACAAGTAGGTCCCGTCATTAAAACTGATAGACTGTACATTTCCTGTCAGTACCATCAAACATGTACAGCTCTGCAAAAAAGATATGCAGTGTCTTTAACACCGTAAAGACATATCAAAAAAGGACATCCTTCGGAACCACCAGCAAAAAATTGCCATGATATTGTTTAAAGTATCCAGAGAGATATTTCTGAAAACGTTTGCTCCGTTCCATGTTCGTACACAGCCCTATTAGTACTGACAGTATGAAAACAAAAATCAAAAATAGTTTCAATGCAAGACAACTGTGAAACACTTTTGTGTTTACAGAGGCAAGATAAATAACCTTATATGTCGATGAAAAAATTCAACAAAAGAAAACAAACAGAATGAAACGGCTCAAATGGGAAAACGGAACAGCGCCTCAAGCACAAGAGTTGAAACCCTGATTGAAAGCACATCATTTAGCACTGAAAGCGTTTTTGATTCAGTCAGATTTGTAAGGAAATAAAAGAATAACATGACAGCATCAAAATCTGTCCCTGTGGGTGAAGTTTTGGATGCCGAAAATTGTCTATTTAATCTAAATATTTCTGTCATGGATCATAATGAAGCCAATGCATTCATTCTTTAACATTATATCAAGCGATTAAGTGGTTTTTACATAGTGTGTTTTACAATTGAATAATAATCTGAATTCAGTATGCAAATGTTACAATGAGTGTTTTCATGCAGACTGCACTGATAACTATCAAGTATCAGCTTATTATAAAAACCTAACAATGCAAAAGAATTGCATTTACATGAGATTTGAATTTATTGCTACATGCAAACATTGAATAAGCTGACAGAATGCTGGCGAAGTTTAAGCAAAATCCTTTTTTTTTAAATACATTTTTAACTGTTTAAAAAGAAACATTCACATGCATTCATATGACACATTGTCGGGTTAAGCATAATCAGTTTGTGCATGCAAATACGCTTAATGATGTTAAACATTACATTTTGAGTAGTGACCAATAAGTGCAAGCTTTTTAAAATCTAATATATAATGTATTTATACAATTTATAAAACCCTCAGAATATACTCAGTAGCTGTTTTAGGTATGGTATCCAGGTGGAATGGATGGTTGCCATTGTCATTTTGTAAGTGTTACGAGTGAAAGCTAGCTCACTTTCAAGGAAATGTGACATGACCAGCACTATTGACCAGGTTACCCTGATCCTTGGCTCATCATGAACACCAGAATACCTGATGAACACACTGTTCGGCAGACAATGGCATATCCAGAAAGCCTTTCCTGTGTTCACAAAATAATGTTTGATTGGGGAGTCTGGCAGACTTGTATGGATGAAGTACTAGAAGTATCACGTCTCTCTTCTGACTCTTCTCCTCTGAATGTCATTTCACATTATTTTTTATCTAGATGCAGTCACTTTCCATAAGATACCAAAGCAGATGTTTGAAAGACAAGTTATTTTGGAAAGCTGCTTTTCATTAGTTGACATTCACAAGAAATGACTAAACCATTTAAGCCTCTAAGATGCTACGAAGCTAGAATGTTATTCTATAATGCTCTTTTGCATATCATAGTATTTTTTACATTTTGAATTAGTTTCAGATATTTGCATATTTTTATGATGGCAAGAAAAAAAAATCTCTGTATATATTTCATAGTTACCCAACGCTGTGTTTCGTTCTTCCAAGAACTCCACTTTCACAATTTGATTGATAGGTGGTGCATCCTCCAGTTTCTCGATAAGAGTCGTAACTAGAACTTCGTTGTTGCCAGGGAAAACGCCTAAATGGTCACCAGGCAAGTATTTCAGGCTCTCGTGGTTGTTGGCATCAAGACGCACAAATATAGTCGATCGGCTGGAAGACAGGAAGTAAGAAAACATGGTAATATGAAACAGTTGCAGTCATTATTAAAGAGATTATAAAAGATACACAAGAGAAATTGACCCTTCGCTAAGCTTTGCCCACCTTGGGTATTTTTGCTAGAATAGGCTGGAATGAAGTTTGACATTGCAAAGCATTTCATATGCCATTTTTAAATGTTTAAAGGGGTCATATGATGCGATTTCAAGTTTTCCTTTCTCTTTGGAGTGTTACAAGCTGATTGTGCATAGATAAGATCCCTGAAGTTGCAAAGACTAAAGTCTCAAAACCAAAGAGATATTCTTTATCAAAGTTAAGACTCTGCCACGCCCCCCTAAAACGGCTCGTTCTAACACACCCCACATATCTTTAAAAAAGCATCATATGACCCCTTTAATATAAAAGTAACTTGATAAAAACTCAAGATACAAATGATAGATTAAAATTAGCTTTCTGTTATTGACATTAATTTAGCTAGAAGCAAATGTATTTTCTCTAAAAGATTTTCTTAACTTCTCATGGTTTAATACAGTATTTTACCATATATATATATATATATATATATATATATATATATATATATGTGTTTG